TTCATACTCCAGAAACCGATAAAGTCAGAATAGCTGTACGTATGACCTTCGTGATAACAAATGGGACTCGATGGTATTGTTACGAAAATATATCTTTTAATTAACTATATATAAATTATTAATTATATATAGTTACATACATATAAAAGCAGTTTTTTTTAGAATGTTTCAGCTTTTATTTTATTAACTCAATTTTGATTAACATTTTATCAAGTGTTATAATTCTATGGCGATTGTTGTTTCAAACATTATTATCTCACGTAGATGTAATAATGTTTTATTAATGTGCATTCTAAATATATTTATATTTTTACGTAATTAAAAAGTGATATTAATTTATTTGAAAAAAGTGAGAGAAACTTAGTTAATTAATTAATTAAAAATGTATATTATAATGTGTGTGTGTGTGTGTGTGTGTGTGTGTGTGTGTGCGCGCGCGTGCGCGCGCGCGTGCGTGCGTGCGTGCGTGCGTGCGTGCGTGCGTGCGTGTCTGTGTGAGATTGATACATAATTCTTGGAAAATAATTTATTTGTAACTTTAACGTGATGAAAATAAGCAAATATTAAAATTAGCGATTATTAATATTTGAATATTTCTGCATATAATAATTTCTGAATATTTCTGCATATAATTATTTAATTACGTTTCGATACAAAGATGTGGCACACAGAATATATTTTCTATGCTAAATTAATCCGTCAGGAACGCGATGGCGAATTAATTTTGAACAGCCGTGCTTTCAATATCTAGCAAAATACCATATGTTAACGTGAATACAGCAAAAGACCATAGGTAATGTGCACGAACCAAGAGATCCAGGGGTTGACCTTTATTCTCTAAAATGTTTGGTTGAGTCAGCTTTGCGACTCCAATATAGTTATACACAAAAAAGTAAATGTAATCTTGGTAAAAAGATCATTTAACAGATGGTCCATTTATGTAATGAAAAATATACATTTATATCTGCCGAAAATTTATAGCAAATTTTATTATGATCCAATGTCATTAAGAAATTCCATCAAATATAATTGAAAAAATTAGACGTCCCACGAAATACTATATTTATAACATATGAATATGATGTCGCATTTACAGCGTATGAAGCAATTACGATAAGCAACGGTGAATTTAAATTACGCGATTGGAAAGTATAATAATTGATTTTTGTTTAAGATATAAATTTGTAATGTGCTCTGAATATTATTGCTGAATCAATATTACATCTAAGTTAAAATAGTGCATTTTAATAATATTCTCAGATTACGAAAATATACGATTATCAATATACGATAATGTACGATTAAGTCATAATCAAAATAATAATAACGTCATATCGTATATTGTTAACTTTTATTTATAATAATGTAAAATTTTTATTTACTGAAATTATTCTCATATGTGTCGTTGAATAATTTTTTTCTAATTCGAATGGAAAAGCTAAGTCGAAAATGGAATGGATGGTCACAGCTCTTTCCCGCGAGATCTTTCGACGACCGGAAACCGGATGCAACGAGAAGCTCGAGATGAGGCGAAAGCTCGAAAGTACTGTCGACAGCCGCTAATAACCGTAACGACTTCTAGGGCATAACAAAGTGGGTCTAAGGGTGGCACAGCGAAGATAAAGGTTGTGTAGGTTGTGAAGGAATGTCCGCCTCTGGACAGCATTACCTTTACACGTGCCTCCTTGAGACCTGCTGAAAGTTCCTGATAACTCCTCCCCTAACTTGGCTCTCGCCAACAATCACGAGTCAAAAATGTGCTTTGTCACAATTAATAAGTAGCAGAACAATAGTTAAGAGAAGTTTCATGCGTGCCTGAGTATACTTGCTTCTAACTACTTAATTCCATTACAATGTTAAATAAACAAAAGTTGAAGTTAAGCTATTCGTCTCGTTAAAACTATTATTCATTTCTTTGTCAATTAAAACAGGGAAAATTTTTGAATTAAATTTGTACTTCTTTAACGTTAAAATTTTATAAAAGAAAAACCACGTTTATTTCAAAACATATTTATTTTAAGATAACCTATAACCTATAGAGAGCGATTCGTCGATTAAATAATAGTAAACAAGTTAAATTTGCAAATTAAAAAGTTTATTTATTTATGAAAATAATATTTTACAGCTTTAATTTTTACCATTTAATTTACATTTAATGACAACGTGTTATGACAAATTCGTTGTGACAAAATTTTTCATATAATATACATAATATTTTATACATTTTGTAGATAAAATTTGACATAAAGAATATAAATATTATATTTTACGCTAAAGAGGTAGACGAAATTATTATTATATCGAAATTATTTCTTTCTCTTGTACGCAGACTGCTGAACACTTTGTCGGTGTTATCGGTTAATCTTCGAGCAATGCGAAAAGACGATAAAGGAATAATAGAGATGTATTCATCTTCAATATCCGCGACTCTTTATGATTGTATATCCAGATAATGTTGGTTTATATTGAATAAGCAGTGAGAATTTTATATACGGCGTGATCCTTGGTTGTGTGATGTCAGAGAAGGCGACTGCCATTTGCATGCTTATTCGAGAACATTTTCTAGGCTAGAAACTCTAGCTAAGTAGGATAAGTATTCGCGACTACAAATTGGTTACGTTAGGCAGCTTAAGGTAGCTTACAGAATAATAATGGAAAATATAATACGGCTGCTTATTGTTAAATAGGCGTGACATATATTCCTTTACGTGTTAAGCTGCTTAGTACACTATATCTAACAACACTTGTCTCATATTACGCTGGAATTGCACGCAAATATATTGGTCAAGTGGCAACTGTTTTTCTTAACATTTAACAACTATTGAAGAAAATATTTCTGAGTGAAATACATATTTTTCAGATTAAAATTGCACCAAGGGGTAAATTTACTTTAATCGCAAATTGTAAAATTCTAAAATGTCATGATGGAATAGGATAACCACATATCATCGGATAAATTATCTTTTATATGATATTTACAGATATTTTAGCTACTTATTGATCATTGCGTATATTACATCAGGGATTATGTCTGACTAATATTTATTTACTATAGATCTTATCTAGATATAAATCTATAAGAAGCATAAGTTATAAAAATAGATCCTAAATAAATCTTGGAAATATAATTTCCAAACATATTTTCGGGAGTATTCTAGGAAAACAGCATATATATCTTTCAGAAATAAACGCACGAGAAAGAACATCACTGATATAAATCCATTATTATTAAAGTGCAATAAGGAGAAAAAAAAGCCTCGATAAGTTTCTTCCTATTTTCCTTTGAGCAGACATACGGTAACTCTCAGATATATCTGATTCGCAATTGACAGACGCGATAGAGAAAAGGCTGCGAGTGGAGGAGATAAATCTAAAAGACCAGAGGCATGTCGCTGATACACGCAAGCATCGATTATTTCGAACGGTTACTTCGAGGACAAACGAGGGGGGCTGTCCCAAAGACCTAGAGCGCACTCGACAGAATTCCCTTTACTTGTTTTTTTTAAATCCAACTAACTTTAACAGAGAGTCTTAACGCGGCAGAATGTCTTTTTACGTTGATCAATTCCGACCTTGCGGAATCCCGCGACTTCTCATTGCTCAACGGGAAACGAGTGTCACCTGTGTGTCTCTTCGCGCGGAAGATTGCCCGTTCGGCACCGGGCATCTATCTGTCTGCTCTCCGCAGCGTGATCCTCTGGAAGGAGCAGTCGATGCCGAACTGACGAAGGCAGGCGCACGTACGCCGCGCGACGGACGGCCGGAATCCATCCGGGTGACACCCGTTATACCGTGCATTCGTAACGTGGAGTTGTAGAGTCGACTCTCCGATATCGAGCGGGAGGCCCGGCGAGGGGTGCCCACACGTGCGCAGGCTCCCACCTCCACCTCGCGTCGCGGATACACGTCGGGGGAGGAAGCGCGCGCGCGGGGGTGTCGCAGCGAGTGGAAGAGAGAAGAATTCAGGGCGGCGGGGTATCGCGGAGCGAGATGGACGACGTTCGAAGAGCGATTTCGGCGGGGTTGGAGTTGGGTGGGCCACCACGGCTGTCGGATGGCGCAAAAGAGAGAAACGCGGGGTGATGCCGTTGGTGCGGAGCGAGGTAGCGGCAGAAAGCTTCCCCCGCATGGAAAACGGAGGATCGTCTATCTCTCCCGAAGGGAGATAAACGATGTCAGAGATAAAGAGAGGGAAGAGGAACGAAAGTAAAGTAAACGAGAAGAGAACACAGAATGGAGAACGCAACGATGGATCGAGGAAGAAGGTAACGGAGAGCGGCCTTCCTGCTCGCGCGAAAGGTATCCCTATGTATCCCTATGTAAAAGAAAGCGACGTACAGGTACCCAATGAGAGAAGGGGATAGAGAATCGCGCTAGTGGAACAAAGATAAACACGAAGCGCTATAAGCTGATATGAAAAAGGAATGACGGAGAAAGAGAGAGAAAGAGAGAGGGGTCCTGCTATCATAAAGAGGATCGAAAGAGGAGTTGGCAGCAAGTGAGAGGGAGAAGGGAAGACGATCGAAAGAGCGAAGGAGAAGTCTTAGTAAACGAAGAAGACCAAAGGAAGGAACACGGTGGGAGAAAGAGATAGAAGGAGGGAGTCGGGAGAACGACGTCGGTGGAGAACGCGAGAGAGGGGGAGAGAGTTAAGCGAGAGAGAGGAACGAAACGGACAGGGTTGTTCCAGTGTGCAGCGGGCGGGCATCGCGGCGGGGGCGCCGTTCTGCTGCTCCTGTATATCCATCCAGGGTTATATGCACCATCCACCGCATCCTAGCGACTACGACGGCGACGACGACGGCGACGACGACGACGACGACGACGACGACGGCGACGGCGACGGCGACGGCGACGGCGACGGCGACGACGACGACGACGACGACGACGACGACGACGACGACGACGACGACGACGACGACGACGACGACGGCGACGACGACGACGACGACGACGGCGACGACGGCGACGACGGCGACGACGACGACGACGACGACGACGGCGGCGATGACGACGACGGCGGCGACGACGACGACGCCGACGTCGCCGGAAAACAAAAGGATATCGGTCGCGTCAAATACCCGAGCCTGTTCGTAGTAGCGGCGTGCATCAGCGTTAGTTGTAGTAATCGTAGTAACCGTAGTACACGTCGCGGACTAATCCTGTCGGTCTGCACGTCGTGAACATCCAGTGAAAGAGCTCACCGAGGCACAGCAACCGAGAAAGACGAGGACGCAGTGCGGGAAACGGAGGAAAGGGAAAGAGCTGGTGAAGAATCGAGTACCGCGATCACACGCAGGTAGGTCCATCCAGAGGGAGGCATCGGCAAGGAGCCGCTCCTCATCGCCGCCGTTCCAGCATGACCCAGCCTTAATACGGCTCTCCTGTCGTACACCCTCCGCGGCGCGACACGATACGACACGTAGAAGAAGAAGGTGGTGGAGTCGGAGGTGGTGCTGGCGGCGGAGGAGAAAGAAGGGGCGGCGGAGGGGACCAGAAAGAGGGTGGAGGACGCCGAGAAGGACGGAGAAGAAGAAGAAGAAGGTGGCGAAGGAGGAGGAGGACGGAGGCCTCGCTAACGACGGCGAACGTCCTCGAGGGTGCGAACCACCAACAGCAGCACCACCGCCGACGACGACGATGATCGTGACGGGCAGCGATCGGCGTACATGTTGGAGGCGGAGGCGCCGATTGGCGTTGGTGACTTTGCTCTCCGCGGTTTTGGCCTTCGCGATAGGCCCCTCCTCGTCTTCGGGCCACAGGCCGGCGCCGAACAACCCGATCACATTTCACACCACCACAAGCAGCACAGCCATGCCCTCGCGGTTGAGCAACGGTACCAGCGTGTACGACAGCAGGAATAACGTGAATGGTGTTAACATTGTGGGTTTCGAGCACAATAGAACTAGCGAGAACGATACGGACATCAAGAGACCGCTCTTTCCCGAAGATCTGTTCACCAATGATCAGCGGCGCCGTGGTGCTGTGATACTTCACATACTCGGCGTGGTGTACATGTTCGTCGCGCTAGCGATCGTTTGCGACGAGTTCTTCGTACCGTCGTTGGACGTGATTATCGAGAAACTCGAGATCGCCGACGACGTGGCCGGTGCCACCTTCATGGCGGCCGGTGGATCGGCGCCCGAACTCTTCACATCGGTCATAGGCGTGTTCGTGTCATTTGACGATGTCGGTATCGGCACTATCGTCGGTTCCGCCGTCTTCAACATCCTCTTCGTGATCGGCATGTGCGCTATATTCTCGCGTACAGTGCTGTCGCTCACATGGTGGCCTCTATTTCGTGACTGCACTTTCTACAGCGCCAGTTTGCTCACCCTGATCTACTTCTTCCGCGACAGTTACATATACTGGTACGAGGCGCTCGTGCTTTTTGGATTCTACTTGGCATATGTGAGCTTCATGAAGTGGAACCAGCCAATGGAGAAATTAGTCAAAAGGGTACTCTACAGAAACAAGGTGACCCGGGTCAGGTCTACCGATCAGCTGATGCCCTCGGTACGTACGGAATGTATACGCGAGACCCGTACACCGCGATCTAGGAAAAATGTCTGACCCTGTCTCTGTCTACTTTTACACCGATCGATCAGTCTGTCTTGTTCTATGATTTCCCTCTCGCTTTATCCCCGCGTGTCATCTCTTTCCATCCATCAACCCCTTTTGTATAGATACATGTCACTGTGTATGCTGTACCGCCGCGCCGCCTCTCTGTCTACACGCGCTTTCCCTCTCCATCTATCCGTCCGTCCGCGTCCGTCTCTCCCTCCACCCTCTTTCCCCCAACCTTCCCTCTCGTTTTTCTCTCTCTTTCTTTCTCTTTCTTTCTCGTCCCTTTCTGCCCCTTTAACATACGTAACTCGCACAACTCTCCCTCCTACTACTCCTTATGCTACCCCCTTATGTACCGTGACTTTATATTTCATGGAGGAGCATAGCGTCGCGTGACTTCACCTACTCGCACGACTGCTCGTGGGCGGTGTTTTGTCTCGTGGACGGACGTTTACTTTTCCTCCTTGCGGTTTTTTCAATTTGCGTTTCGAGATGAGGTTAACCCCGATGTGAACCTTGAACACGGCGTAATTAAGAGACGCGACCTTGATCAAATCGCGCGGAACTTTTATGACAAGTGAATGATCAAACTGCATCGGATTCAGCGCCGACAGCAAGTTTCTCTATCGTACGTTCTATTTCACGGTTAATAAGCAAATTGATAAATCATGCCGAATCCGGAATTCACAAACACGTTACGACTCTAAAGTTAATCCTGAATTATGGGAAACTCTTGGCATCTTATACGAGAATGCATGAGCGATACATATGACTTTTATTAATCATCCTCGCAAATCTCATACTTTATAAATCTAACTTTTCGAAAAGAAACTGATAATTTTTGAATGAAACAGATAGTCCCAAGTGCATTTCGAACAACATCAATCATAGTTTAAGACACATGACCTGCTTACCCCTCGCATGTAGGCCAAGGGAGAGATATATCGATTGTCTCAAAACATTTTCTTCTTTTCACTCGTAAACTTTTATATATGTGCGTATAATTATAATTCTTCTACATTATGTATCTTTTCTCCGAAATATCTTTATTTTTCTAATTCTTGGTCTCTAAATTATATATAAATGAATTACGTCGGAATTACGTCGAGGGGGAAAAATAAGAGTTACTCGAGACCAACTGGCTAGATTATCTTTATACGCGAAGTTGATACACGCTGACTAATGTTTATTCTGGTAATGGGGTCTCGTGCAGAGCACGATTCATAAGCGGAGGAAGAATCGTACTCAAGGTCGTCAGAAACGTCACAAGCACTGTGCGCTTCCCTACGTTGAAGTTTCTTTGACCTGTCGCGAAAGAGTGCCTTACCGCGGTGTACGAAGCCGGGACAATACGCGCCCTCGGACTTTATATAAACGTAGAAACTTTACATTATGGGAAAACTAGCTGTTATGACAACATTCGGTACTAGCGTAATAACTCGTATAGTGAACGTCAACGTGTGTGGCAGCGCGAGTTTTGTTATATTCCGAGTCGCCGATTGCATTATCAGCATTAAATGCTTTTTTCGTTCACGTTTAATCTCATGGGGTTATCAGCACGCGATTGAGATTCCAACGTAATCTCCAATTTACGTTGCAGACTTTAGTCTGTCGGATCGTATCTGCAAGATGTTTAAACAAATAATCCTATATTTTCGTAACGACGACATTGGCGATCGATTCGCTCGCAAAACCGAATGATTGAGAACCTTTCGAACCAACGCTTCGTGAACAGAGTGTGTTTTTGTGCCAATCGATTTTGAATCTTGCACACGAAAAAGAGGCAGACTGTTGAGTGAAAGAAAAATTTGTTTTGGAAAAGACATCTTTCGTTGTAATCGCGATCTCGAAAGAAGGCCATCGGTGGTATAACGCGTAAACTTTAATAATATAATAAAAAGATTTTACTTGCATTTTTGCTGAAAATCTAAAATATATTTTGTACGTATATTGAATTTTTTTTATACAATTTTTTAAATTGTAATATTTATAAAACAAAAGTTTTTCTTCCTTTACGTAGTAGAAAGATTACATGTATGAAATTGATTTCAGATAAGTTTTGAAAATACTTGCATGAGATAAAAAGAGATCTTTGATATTTGTCTGGTATAAAACAAAGCATTATAAATCTTGTTTTAATTATGAGTGTTCTGTAATTATGAGATTATATGACAAGAATTTTGTCCAAACTACTTCCAAAAATCTTTCTCATATTTAAAGTACTGTAAAGTACTGTATATCTACAGAAAATACTGCAAATAAAAATAATCTGTGATAAAAAAAAACTTAAATCACATTAATAAACATTGAATATATATATTTATATTCAATGAGATATATAGAGATTTATATTAGAGATTTATATTAGAGATATATAATCGATATATAATCAACCAAAGCTTACATTAGACTTTTATTATAAATTATAAATTTTCAACAAATTTCTCTGATATTTACTTGATTTTAATTTATCGATATCACTGAAACTTAATATTTCCTGCATCAATATTAATTAACATTAATTATTTTTGCACAAAAAATATAATGGAAACAGAAATTGATGTCACTTATCATCTACATCAAATTTGTATATAATATATCTATAAAAGATACAAAAAGGATACGAATGAAATCAATCGTAATTGTTATTTCATATTCCAAAGGATTCACATTATCACGTTTAAAACGTCAAAACGCGCATGCTGCCTCTATAATATACCAAATGCATTCATAACTTTTATCGATGCTAAAATAATTCTTTTATTTTATGATACATAATAGCAATACTTTTGCAATAAATGTAATATATGAAAAATAACGCATGAAATATAATACATTAAAAAAAATGTAATGACTAATGAAATAGCTTTGAGACGTAAATTTATAATAGAGGGAAAATGTCGCAATGTCCGGAAATGCGTAATCCGCTTCTTCGAAGTTGAGACGTGAAATCTGTTTTACCTTTACTCGTCTCCCTCCGGTATCGTTTACGCTGACACTCGGGAAGGTTTAACTGAAATTTATCTTTTATTCCTGCGTGGTGACGATGATCGTTTGTCAGGGAAAATAAGAATAGAAAACTTGGATGAAAATATTGACGCGATATCGATCGAGCGAGGCTCCTTCCTCCTTAATTTCATAGACTCGTATTATTTCCGCTCCCGATATCGCTAATATTTCGAAGTACGGAAAATGCGTTTCTGTCAATCATGCTGCAATGCACCGTGAGTGCGAAATATATCTCTCTTATTGACACTGACTGGTGATTATTAGAAGACCTCGGCTCCGATAACTGCATAATTGCATTCGACTGACAAATGATTGAAGCATTCCCCGAGAAATTACCCGCATTAGATTTATCGCAGTAGCGTGACGTATTATTTAGGCGGATCCTAAACAATTATGGTATGTGGAATATTAAAAATTAATCTTCGATACTATTATTATTAATGACATTTTCTGTAAACCACGTTGAATATATCGGAAAATCATATTATTAATTAATAATTGTGTCGTATATGTTTTCTTTTTTTAATAAATTCTAAGACTCTAAAGTATCAATAATGATAAATATAATATGAGATAACGTTACACACTTAATCACTGTCTCGCATTCTGTACGCACATTATAATTAACACAGCGTTTAACACCTTGCGTGCAAAGTATGTTGCTATCTCGACTCGCTTAAAAGTTCCTCTTTTCTGCCGTACGGTGAACGTGCGTTCGAGATTATAATTAGACGCCGGTATCGTTGTGTCTATTAATATCAGGTGTATTAAACTAATTTCGCGTGTAATATTAGTATCATGGCAATTAAATCGAGATCGAGGTGTGCGATAAGAATGACATCTACTATATTTCACTGTAAATATCCGTAATTGCTAGTTAAATTTTTATATACTCATCTTAATTGCTTTCAATGTACACGTAATCCTCTTTTTATGAAAACGAATGACGAACGCACTGATATGAATATAGCCTTGATTCATCTTGCTTGAGAAAAAAGTTCTAACGATATGTCATGTGGGTTTTATTAAAATAGATCCGGCCGAGATGAGCATGAACTTGTACACGCGCAATCCAGTATACCAGCTGCGCATACTCAATTGAACTTTTAAACTGGCCGTTATTGGTCTTATTGTTCTTTCTTTTCGCAAGAACAATATCATGCGCGAACCTCGTGCGAAATATTCGAGAGAGAGAGAGAGAGAGAGAGAGATGGTGGTTATCAAATAGAATGATTAAAACCTTAATTAATATGGCAATCACGGGACGGAATACATTCGGGGATCATACTTAAAATTCTACGCCGTCGTGAAAGACTTATACCGAGCACGAAATCCAATAATTTCGCCGGAAGAGCATTCGCGGCCGTTTCATTGCAATGACGGTCCGTTCCTTCGTCCCTCCTTGGTCCCTCCTCACGCTCCTCCGTTTATCCACTGGCCCCTGAGAAAAAAAAAAAAGAACACGCCGTCCTCTTCTTTTTAACTTCTGAAATCTCACTCGGAGGGGTTACGGCATTGCAGTGCGCCGAGGCCCTCTCCACCCATCGTCGAATCGATTCGACAGAGGCTCTTCCACACGCTTCCAGTCTCGGCGAACGCCCGTGTGCAACCGTCGGTGTTTCAGTCCACTTCACTCTTACCTCTCGTTGAGCTATAACGGAACGTATATACACGCGGGGGAGCATTACATAATGCGCCGGTGGGTAGATGGGAAAAAAATTTACGGGCGAGATAGCACGAATTTAGTCATCAACTTGAGCGACCGCAGAAACATTGACCCCCTCGCCCCTCCTCCCCCCCCTCGGTATATTTTACATACGGCTCGTGCCTGAAACGCCGAGTTCGTTGCAGGATCGTAATCGTTGTTAAACTCGGGTGTAGACGTATGCTAGACGTAACGAGCGTTGCTTTATAGCATTTATTAAATGCGTCTTCTCAAG